CAACATCTTTAAGTATAAATGTATTGCATCCTTATGCCACATGTTTTGAATTTGGATTCTAAAATAATCTTAAATATATCGAACGTCGTCTGATAGATTTGTGCAAATTTTGGAAGTATTTCTTTTAAACAGACACATGAAGAACAATAAGTATTGCATGTAAGCACTCCAAGCAGACACACAGTCATGAAAATCCGTTTACTTTCAAACTAACACTTACAGGAAGAAGTTAATCTTTTTTTTTATGTTTTACAGTTTGGTTGTTGTTAAACGCTAAGCTACACTTTTAGTGTCGTAAGCCTGTAGATTTACGGGAACTTTCTTTACAAAAACAAGCCAGGAACTTTAGTTAACTTACCTTTTAACATGGAGATAAGCTGTGCATACATCTATGTAAAACGCCGTAGAATTACGCCTTTATTTTAAAGAAAATTCTTGCGTTTTTTTTGCTCTGATTCTACACTTCTATAAACTTCAATAAAATAAATAAGATACTATATTGTTTGTTATGAATTTCGCGCAAAGCTACACGAGGGCTATCTGCGCTAGCCGTTCCTAATTTAGCAGTGTAAGACTAGAGAGAAGGCAACTAGTCATCACCACCCACCGCCAACTCTTGGGCTACTCTTTTACCAACGAATAGTGGGATTGGCCGTCACATTATAACGCCCCCACGGCTGAAAGGGCGAGCATGTTTGGTGTGACGGGGATTCGAACCCGCGAATTACAAGTCAAGCGCCCTAACCACCTGGCCATCCCGGGCCAAGATACTATATAACAGCTTCTTTAGTTAGTTTAAATAAGGTTATGCGCTTTTTTTATCTTGTCTCACAAATTGCCCAAAAAAAACTGCAAAAAAAATGTGCAAATATTATAAGAATATCTTTATTTGGAATTTACTTTCAGATTCTTGACTCTTTTTTTTTACCTTACTCAAAGTTATAAAAATTAACAAATTACAATAAAAACTTATCCTTTTTTAAATCATAAATATTCCTGATTCTAAATCAAGATATTTGAAACACGTATAGTTTTAAGACGATTTTGCTATTATACTTTACACTAACGTTGAGACGATTGTTTTGAAGGATATACACATATATATATACTCGCTAATTGACATAATTTTTTTTTCTTTTTACTCTAATCTGTGTGAATTATAACAAAGATTTGCAAATCAGTAAAAGATTCTGTCCTGATTTTGAAGGCTTTGCTCTTTTCTTAGTTCTCACCCTAAACTGGAAAGTATGAGAAAACACTAGCGTAATATTTTTATCAATACGTAAGACTATACCTTTATTTCATCTTTCTAAATATATAATATAGAATATCCCTACTTCATTATTCTAATTTTATATACGAATACGGTTGCTTTTATTATTATTATTTTGTTTTACTGTTAATGAAATCCTTTATAGTCAATTACACTGAAATAAATTTTATATATACATATGTGTATGTGTGTATATATATATATATTGAGAGTTAGACAGTTTATTGCACAATGAGCTATCTGTGTGGTGCACACTAAGGGTATCGAATGACGATTTTCAGCGTTATAAGCCCTCGGGTGTACCACTGATGTCTATAAAGTGAGAGAGAGAGATTATCTTAATAATTTGCGATTTATGAAATATGCTTATGAGGGATCAGGCTCATCTCGGCGTGTATAGAACTCTGTATGGTAAATAGCGCTCTAACCGTGACGATAGGGCAGAACTAAACCAATTAGACTTAACCAGCCATCTCAGTGAACCCAAATTCATTTGTTATAGATAAATAACATAAATTAAAAATTCCTGAAATATTAATGTCACCCCGTCACTGTAATATATAAAACGTTTTAATTATTCCCATATGTTGGTATGTAACACTATCCCATCCCAGTAATTCTTATATGTTGGTGTATATCACAAATCCTTCTCAATTGCCCCGGTATATTGACATATAACGTAAATCCATCTGAATAATTTTTAGATCATAAACCCATCACAGTAATCGGTACATAATGTCACCCCAATCTAGTAATTTCTATATTTTGATGTATAACATAAATCCAACTCAGTGATTTCTATATGTTGATATATAAAGTCACCCTATTCAGTTATTCCCATGATTTGGTATATAATATCACTACATCTGAGTAATTCCCAGAAGTTGGTATATAACATAATTTCATTTCAGTAATTCCTAGGAGGTGGTATGTAATATCACACCATTTCATTAAATCCTATTAATTGGCCTATCACAGCGATTCCTTTAAATTGTTATGTACCGTCACCCCATCCTAAGTAATTTCCGTGTTACTACATGACGTCAGCTCATTTCAGTTATTACTTTATACAGGTCTTTGACATAGACCCATCTGAGAACACCTATGTGCTGGTATATAAATAATCGCTACATTTTGGTATATGATATAAACTTATCTCAGTAATTACTCAATATTGATCTATAACATAAACGCCCTCAGTGGATCAGCGGTATGTTTAAAGGCTTAAAACACTGAAAACCGGGTTCCCGATACCTGTAATGGGCGTAGCATAGCCCATTGTGTAGTTTTGTGCTTAACAACATAAACAACCAAGAACACAAACCCATCTCAATAATTCGGTATATAATATCACTTCATCTCAGTAATTCCTACATGTTTGTACATAATGTTACTTCATCTAAGTAATTCCTACATATTTGTACATAATGTTACTTTATCTAAGTAATTCCTACATGTTGTTAGGTAGCATCACGACATCTCAATAATTCCTATGTGTTTGTACATAATGTTACTTCATCTAAGTAATTCCTATATGTTTGTACATAATGTTACTTCATCTAAGTAATTCCTACATGTTGTTAGGTAGCATCACGACATCTCAATAATTCCTATGTGTTTGTACATAATGATACTTCATCTAAGTAATTCCTACATGTTGTTAGGTAGCATCACGACATCTCAATAATTCCTACATGTTTGTACATAATGTTACTTCATCTAAGTAATTCCTATCTGTTGTTAGGTAGCATCACGACATCTTAATAATTTTCACTAGTTGGTTTATAACGTCACCTCATCTTAGAAAATCCCATTAATTGGCATATAAAGTAAACCCATCAATGTAACTCCTTTGTGTTGATATGCATCATCACCCCATCTCTGTAAGTCATATACTGGTATATAAGGTACAACCTTCTCAACAGTTCCCGTATGTTGCTATACAATATAATCCTGTCTCAGTAATTCTTGTATGCTGGTATATGACGCCGCCCCATTTCAGTAATTCCCATATAATAGTATGTAATGTCATTCTATTTCAGTAATTCCCATATATTAGCATGTAATGTCATTCTATTTCAGTAATTTTGATATGTTGGTCTATTGCATAAATCCATCTCCGTAACCTGAAAATACTGACATAGAATGTGAACCGATCAATGTAATTCCAATATGTTATTCCATAACATAAACCCATCTCAGTAATCCCAGTATAATGGTACATAACGTACACCCATCTCAGTACTTTTTACATGTTGGTTTATAAATAAACTCATCTCAGTAATCGGTATATAACGTAAATCCATTTCACAGTGCCCATATGTTGGTACATAAAGTCACCCTATATCATTCATTCCCATGATTTAGTATAAAACGTCATCCTATATCACTAATTATTATCAGTTGGTATATAATATCACTCCATCTCAGTAATTCCCAGAAGTTGGTATGTAATATCATATCATCTCAGTAAATCCCATTAATTGGTATATCATGGTAATTCTTTTATGTAGCGTCACCCATCTAAGCTATTCCGATATATATATCGTAAACCTATCTCGATAGTTCCATATATCAACACTTCGTCTCCATAATTCCCACATATTATTATATAACACAAATTCACCCCAGTAAGTCCATGATGCGGATATGTAACTCAAACCCCACTTGGTATCAAACAGGAGTAAACCAATATCAGTAATCTTTATATGCTTACAGATGAGCTAAAAGTTGGTGTTTAATCTTCGTAATTATTGGTATATATTTGCATAACGGATTTATATTAGCATAACTGTATTTTTGTTTCATGATTTCTTCCTTCAATATAATCTATTGCGTTATCATTATTTATTTTTTATTGAACTTATCAAGTTTTAACATATTTTCTTTGAACTAAATGTTAAGAAAACAATATCTATCAAATAATTAATACACGTTTTAAAAAAATTTTGTGAGGTGCAACATTTTGTTAGCTCCTCTGAAAACTAAATAGTACAGTCATTCTAACAAAATAACTCAATTCACGAACGTTTATAATACCTATTTGATGTGGCATCGTCATTAAGATCGCAAATAATTGACGTCATAAATCTGTAGAATAATTAATAATCTACAGTAGCTCGGAAGCAATACTTTCCGTGTATAGGCTTAAGCAAAGTTACTCTAGACAAGGGATAAGTAATAATGACATATTAAAACACAAAGTTCTGAAGGAAATAGCAAAGGCAAGTAAGGCGTTTATCTTGGATAACTTAATCCGTCTCAAAACACCTAGCTACCGCTTGTCATTTGGTGTAAAAGATACATGCATAGACTTAGGGTAGACTGAATACTTTGACTAAGTAAAAAACTGAAATAATGATTTTGTATAAAGAAATAAAACTGAATTTAAATATAAATCGATCATCCAAATTCATTTATTACAAACATACACCTAAAAATGAATTAAATATTTCATTATTTATGTAAATACATTTCAATAACCAGCTAAGAAACATGGAACTGATAAAAAAAAGTCTTGATATTTTAGTCTAGAGTTCTACCAATGATAAATATTACTGTGCTTATTGCTGCAGCTGAAATGTCACCAATCAAGAACACCTTTCTTTGCTATTTCTAACGAAAACGTGAAACAGTTGTATTTCTGAGTGGTCATTTTGGCAGTAGTCAATGGCCACATGTATGGTATAGCCTATAAAGATTGTATTAGCATTAATGAATCACTTACCACAGCCTCAGAAGACCCAGGCTTACAACATCAGCATCAAAACACAGAAAGTGCGATTTAACGTCAGACAAAGGCAACCGTTTATGTAGTCTTGATGTTTCGTGAGCATTACGTCATCAATCAATTTATTCTGCAGTGAAGCAATCCTTCAGAGACTGCGCAAACTTCCAAACTATATTTCGCCTTTACCTCCACTCTTATCGACCGCAGTGTGAGGACACATTAAACAAACATGTCGATAGAGCTCAGTATAAAACACAAAAATCCAAAATAAATTGGGAGTCTAATCTTTTTATGAAAAACCAACAAACATTCGTTCCTTTCTCCTTCAACACTAGACGTTACCAAATTATCCAGTATAATCAAATGTAATATTATTATACAGAAAAACATAAGTGAGATTTTTCTGGCTGTTACTTTATTTGTTTTGAACTTCGCGCAAAGCTACTCGAGGGCTATCTGTGCTAGCCGTTCCTAATTTTGAAGTGATGGATTAGGCAGCTAGTTAACACCACCCACCGCCAACTGTTAGGCTACTCTTTACCAACAAACAGTGGGATTGACTGTCATGTTATAACACTCTCATGGCTGAAAAGGTGAGCATTTTCGATGATGAGATTCGGTCCCGCAACCTGAAACTTGCGAGTCGAGTACCCTAACCATTCCTGACTATTACATAAACAGTATTTTTAATATTGTTTTTAGTTGTTGCACCAGCGCGCTTAAGTTTGACTGTTAAGCTCAATTGTGCTGTTGATAATATTTGTACTGAAATGTGAAATACGAAATTAACAACTGAAACTAACAAGGAAAACTTTAATAAAGAGAAAATTATTTAAATTTTTTGTCACTGCCAAAAAACTAACTCGTGTAATTACTACAGTTTCAGTCAACAGCTAAAATATCAAACACAGTATGCAATATTATTGACGTGCCTGTGCATTTTTATAATATTATTACATCCATGCACCAAAGATTAATAACACTTTCATTCCATTAACTCCGGTTAGAAATTTCGTATTAACAAAAACATATATCTATTTATTATAAAAGTATATGTATATTTTATTTTATCTAAGTTACTTAAAGCTCTGGTGACTATCAATAAACAAGAAAAAAGTGAAAGAAGAAGAAAACACATTCTCTGCACTTTCAATGACTTTAAACACGTCGGGTAAAGAAATATGTTAAAGACTAATCCTGTTTTAAAGACCAAACAGACAGCGTCAGTATAGCTTTGACTCTAGCTCCAATCATGACAAATGTGTTTTTGTGCATACACGATCAAATTTGATTAAATTACTGTACTTCAGAATTTACGCCACTTGTTCACAAACGTTACATAAACGACATTTTTGTGGTTTTCAAACAAAAACAACAGCAGGTACTGTTTGTCGGCTATATGAATGATAAGCTTGAGAACATAATCTTTACTTTTGAGCACCTACAAAACTCTGTGTGTGTGTTACTTTTTCTGGACACCTTGGTGTTTACCAGGAAAAGAAAGTTTGATATTGTACTTTATCACAGAGCTGTCTACCATGGGCTACAGTCACACTCTGAGAGTTTTGTATTACATCATTTCAAGAAAATCTGTACAAAAAGTCTTGTAGGTCGTGCTCATATGATTACCAACACGTCTGAGATTTTCTTACAATAAATTAAAATCAGTGTTGAATATGAATTGTTTTCCAAGACAGTTTGTTGAACTCACTATAGAGGGAATGTTAAAACACTTATCTAGTCCTACAGTTATGAATTTCGACGTCCCTAAAATACAAGTGTTTATAGCTCTCCCGCATACTGATGTTCACATTATTCAGATCAAAGAGAAATTAAACACAATCATAGGAAAAGTCTTTCCATAAATTAATTTACAATATGTGATCAAATCTTCCACAAAACTTCAAAATATGTTCCCAGTTAAACTTAAAGAATGATTGTTTAGTAGCAAGTTCCATAATCTTTTGAATATTTGCTTATTTAAATCCTTTGCAACTTCCTTTTTATTTAACACTTGACTTAATACATAAATTAATAGTCTCGTTTAGTGAAATGTTTGTTAAAACAGCCACAATATCCAGACTCGTTAGAAAAACATCACCAACAAACTTATTATTAATCATTTTCTCGAATAATTCAAAAGTTTCTTTTAGAGTGTAGCTGTTACAATTAAAATCAGTTAAGGAAGAACTTAAGAAATTAACCAATCTTTGGTTAAAACGCTTTGCGTAAGGAAAGATTGGTTAAATACGACAACTAGGTTTGTGAATTTTTGGTTACCCATACAGAAAACGTGCATGAAACCTACTGATCTGATATCGTTAAAGGTTTTCTCATCAATAACATTTTGTTTCTTCGAGTTTAATGAATTACGTATTGATTAATTTTCTTTAGTAACGGTTGGATCGATGATCAGTCTAGAGAACGTAGTAGTGTCGTTAACGACCTGTTTGATCTTTTCAAGATAGTCTAGTTTGTCAAAAATAACAGTACAGTTTTCTTTATACGGTTTTAAGATGTTAATCTCATTATTAGATTTTAAGTTATACAAAGTATGTTTCCCTTTCTGATGATGTTTAATTGTTTATTTCTAGAACTAGCGTAAAAGCCTGTCAAAACTATTCCATATAAAACTGGCAATACATAAAAGAAATATAAAATGTCTTTTCCCTGGAATATGCTACATATTGCTCCTGAATCCATTATATATAACAGAGCAAACATGCTACATATTGGTGCCTTTGGATAACAGATTAAAACATACGATGACCATGTGATTGCATACACACCTGTTCTTTTGAGGCAAAGTCGTCCTCTTCTCTACAGATAATTGGTATCTTCAGTCTGTTTTAACAAAGGCTTTTTCGCAGTAATTCCCAGGCATAGATTTGCGATAATTTGTAACTAAATTTGCACAGGTGTTGATAGGGTGCGATTGCACTTCGTTGTCTTCGATCACTGAAGTATTTTCTATTCGGATCCTACCTAGCTCAACGTCGTAATGATGTGGATGATGTGGTGTCACACACATAACACCATGCCTGATCTGGCCCAGGGAACTTCCTCCTTGGCAGGCTATTATATAGCAGAAAAAGTTCCGAAATTTAGGAGGAAGTATTGTAGGTTTCATTACAAAATTGCCTTTGATGACAAACTGTTTAAAGCTATTCATTCAAACGATCAAAGAGCGAATGACTGAAATATCACACAAAAGATATTAAGAGTAAAAAACACAAAAACCGAAGTTTTTTGGCCAATTGAAAGGTAAAACCTTTATTATTAGTTACAGTCGACTAGTTTCGATAATGCAGTTATCATTATCAGGGTTAGTGTTAACGAATCCCCCCTCCCAGTGGTACAGCGGACTTACAATGCTAGAAACCGGGTTTCGATGCCCGTGATGGGCAGAGCACAGATAGCTCATTGTGTAGCTTTGTGCTTAACTACAAACAAACAAAGTTGCCGAAATTAGTTGGTTGTAACTGATAATAAAGATTTTACCTTTCAACGTGCCAAAAAACGTCGGTTTTGTATTTTGTATTCTTAATATTGTAGCACAATGTACCTGAAATAAGACTGCCACACTAGGAATTTTACAAGCAGTTCTGTTTATAAAATTTAGTCCTAACTATAAGCTTTTATTGTAGAACTACTTAGCATTATTTAATACTCCTTATTTTTCAAGTATTATATTGTTACGTCTCTGGTCGTTTGTTAATTTTCCGTAGAAATTCTTTCTGAGAAACTTCAGTGATACAAGTCCTTTCTTAAACAAAACTAGTTTATTCTTTCTCTATTCAACTTTGCAATACACTTAATTTCCACAGTCACTTTAACTTAAACATACGCTATAATTCACCACGATTCACGCACTTTCCTACCGCGTTTGACTCAATTGTCCGTCTCTGTCTCTGCCTGTCTGCAATTCTAATTCC